TACCTGGGCCTGACCTCCCTCTGCCAAATGCCCAGGCTACCTAGTGCCTTCCCCTCCTCAAGTGAGGACCACCATCACCCATCCCCATCCCACATCTCTGATTCATGACCATTCTGCTTTGCCCTAGGGCAGAGAGTGGGCAGTAGTACAGGCCAAGGGCAGGCAGGAGCCCTAAGGACCATCTGACATCTGCTCACAGACATGATGGACCTACCTTGGGCAACAGGGGGCACTGTGGGCCTGCACTTAGGGGTCTGTGGGACTCTCAGTTGGAAACTGGACACCTGCCTCCTGGTCTCTGTTTAGGGCTCAGTGGGCCCAGCTGCTGGGTCTTATGGACCCTGCAGAGCCTCGGGCCACACCCAGCTCTTCCCTCTCTGAATTGACACCAGCCATTGGGGCAGCTCACAGGCCCAGAAAGGGGGTTGAATAGAAAGTGGACAAAGACAAAATTTGCATTAAGGGCCCCTTTCACACCTGCTCTGGGTTAGAGGAAATATAAGAGAGACCTGCAGTATGTCTGCCTCAGCACAGCTCCAGGGCCTCTGCACCATGGCCTGGACCACACTCTCCCTCCTTGTCCTTGTTCTCCACTGCACAGGTCAGGATTATCCTTAGCATCCTGGCCTCTGATCCTGACACCACCTCTAGCTACAGGAGAAATGTCCTCCCCCTGTTCTCCACCCAGGCCATAATAAGTATCTGTGTTTCAGGGTCCCTCTCCCAGGCTGTGCTGACTCAATCGCCATCTACCTCTGCTTCCCTGGGAGCCTTGGCCAAGCTCACCTGCACTCTGAGCAGGGAGCACAACAACTACAACATTGGGTGGTACCGGCAGCAGCCAGGGAAAGCCCTTCGGTATGTGATGTATCTTTACAGTAATGGAAGACACAAGGGCGACAGGATCCCTGATCACTTCTCGGGCTTGAGCTCTGAAGCTGACCACTACTTGACCCCCTTCAACCTCCAGCCTGAGGATGAGGCTGACTACTTCTATGTTTTACCTTATAGTGGTAGTTAAACACAGTGACCTACATGGAGATGGCTGCATTTCAATTCTCTCAAATACCCAGCTCCCTCTCTTTGTTAAATTTATTTAGACTACGAGTATTTCAGTGTGTGCATCACTCTGAGCTTCCAAGTCCGTGGCAAGTGGCTCCTGAACAGGGACCTTAAAGACTCAGTAATCATGAGTAACAATGCACGTACTATATTAAGTGAATCGTGACCCTAGATGTGAGAAATTGCTTCGTTTCTATTTTCTAAAGGTTTTCACTATAGGACATGTGTGCTCACCAGAAAGACAGAGAGAGACAGAGAGAAGAAAGTAAAAAATCACCCCCCTGCGGGGCAGGAATGGCCATGCTACAATCCCTTCTCCATTCTCCTCTCAGAATCCTGGGCACAAACACACATACCTGGTGAGAGCTTAAGCCACCATGGCCAGGACTCGAACTGCAGTCGTCTACATGGGAGCCAGTGACATAGCCATTACATCAACTGCTGGTCCTGAGGATTTGCTTTTAAGACTCAGTAACAATGGGGCAGAATTCATCTAGTTTAACTCATTATGTTACCTTATTGAAATGTTTGCAGAAGCAAGAAGGGGCTTCTATATGGACACAAAAGATTATTGAAATATTGGAATGGATTTTAAAATACTGGCCCTGGGGACCAGCAGTTAGCATAATGGCTATGTCACTGGACTCCCATATAGTCGTCCGTGGTTTGCATCCCGGACCCAGTGGCTTAAAACTCATGCCAGGTGTGTGTGTGTGCGTGCCCAAGATCCCGAGAGGAGAATGGAGGAGAAGGGATTGTGGAGTGACCATCCCACCTGGGGGATGATTTCTCGCTTTCTGTCTCTCTGTCTCTCTCTCTCTATCTGTCTGTCTGGCAAGTGCACGTGCCCTATAGCAAAAACCTCTAAAAAAAAATACTGGCCCTGGGTCACTGAGGAAGGCATCCTCAATGTGGAAACTTGGGAATGTGTTGGTAAACTATTGCTAAAGGAACATGGGCAAGGCTCTCATATTCCTGCAAATGGATTTTCCATGTGGATATTGATAAAAATCTGTCTTAGAACCTTTCAGGAAACAAAAGCAAACTTTTGACATAAATATGAGATTCCTATGCCTATAACAACCTCTCCTTTAGCCCCTGCACTATCTTCTCCTAGTCTATTGAGTGAAAACAACCCCTTTAAAAATGAAAACCGTACAACATCCGGCTTTCCAGTTCAAACTTTAACCCCCATATGAAAGGCTCTAGCCAAATATTTGGAAAATTCTAATTCAATAGATCTGGATGACTTAATGTTATTTTCAGTGATAAAACAAGACCCATGAGGGGATTTGCAGATAATTCATCAAGGGTTTTATATGAAAACATTACATAGGCTTCAGGATAGTATAAGAGAAAATGAAATTCAAGTTCTGATTACCATGACCATTCCAGAAACCTTGGGTACTATGCGGCTACCCCCTGGGGCCTGTCATCTAATCTGTAAAGCAGATTTTATTGGGAGTGTATATTTGCAACAGAAGGTAGCCTTTGGATATTTTGCAGAAGAAAATGGCTAAACTTAATAAAAATGCTAATATTCAAATTACATTTAAAATGCTAACAGGCCCAGGATCATTCAAAAATTTAAATACACAGCTAAAATAATCCAAAATATTCAAAAATATTCAAAAACTGTCTTCTTTCTAACAAGGTCTGAGATAAAAATAAACACCTAAGGGTAAGCTCTATAACTTCTTTCAAAGGAGACGAAAAAGATATTAAAAAATTTCCAAAATTTTGTTTGTATGAGTGTATATGAATATATATTTTACATGTCATGTGTCTATGAGATCAAAGGCCTTAAAGAATTCCATTCAACTTGGCTGATAAATAAGAGTGCTCATACAAATTATTCTAAATGCTTTTGAAGTTTACATGACTAAATCTCTGACAAATAGTCGGTTTCAAATGTATGTATGT